CCCCCCCCCGGTCAGCCGAACCTTGTACCGCGCCTGTCGCATCGCTACATCGCCAGGGTGCTTCCCCCGGTATCTTCCGCCGGTCTCCGCCTGGAAAGGTATCAACCTGGGCTTACAGTTCAGCGTTCCGATGGGGAAATCACCAGAGAACACTATGCTTCTTCGGGTATAGTCTAGTGAAGAACTTGGGGTTGAACGCCGGAAAACAACTAAATTTTCGCGTACCCTATAACCGTGTTACGTGTGGCCACGATATATACATTACATCGTGGTGTGGCGGAAATTGAAGGAATATATACTCATCTAAAAATAAAATAAAAATTGCCTCCATTTCTTAGTTGTGAAATTATATTATTATGAAACACATGTAGAAGTGACACTAAGGCAATAATATATTATATTTATAGTACAAAATCATCTATTTAATAAAGAATGTAAACTGTAGCTGAAATAATTAAGATTTTTAGTGACTCCCAGGTAAAATCTGGCAGTGTAAGGTAAGTTCCTCAAAGTAGGACGACTTAACCAAGAAGTTTCTTAAGCACAAGGAGTACATGTCACACAACAATTATTGGCACCACGACTGACAGTTTAAATCATCAATAAGATTTACAGTTGGGGTTCCAAAATGCAATCATTACATACATCTACATTGTAGGTACCCATTGGACTATGAAGAACATAACACATTTGATTATTCTACAATTGCAGGTAAGAATAATGTCTGAGTAATAATTCAAAGTCACACATATAAACACACATTGAACTGTATAAGTTTGATTTGTTCATCAGACACAGCAGTACAGTTATGTTCAATTTTTTTTTGACAAGTTCATAACAAGGATTAAAAGTATTAATGGAGAAGCTACAAATACAAACCTTCAGGAGATCGGTAGTGGGAAATAGAAACCATAATTTGTACATATGGACTGAATGTAAATTTGCTATGGTTGAAATTGGACAATATTCATGCTGGAGCTTTCGAATCATACAATGAACGCAAACACAGCGAGCCACAGGACAAACAAATTTGAAGAAAGGTGTGGAAAGTTTTAATTACTGAAAAAATACTTTGGTCCCGGAAGAAGAATAAACAGTTATCGCCTTCTAGATGAATTTTATAACTTGAGCCTGTTGAACAGAAACACTTCCCAGAACCATTTCTCTGTAATTTCATATATTCTCCTTTCTCTGATACCCAATAGCCTTAAATAAAGAAATTGCCAAAAACAGGAACACACTTTATTCATATTTTGAAGAAACTAAAACGTTATTAATTTGCATTACCATGCCAAATGTTTTAAAGTATTAATTAAGGCACAATCTATTTCAAGTCTCAAAATTTTCATATTGAGAGAGTGAATGTGTAAAGATAGTATAGGTAATTCAAAACAGAGAATGTTGTACACATAACTGTTAATCTTAGCATGTCTTCAGAATATGTAGCTCTCATACAGTAGAAACTAGAAATCCCCTGCCAGTTTCATTAAATCAAAAAGCTAAGTGCAACTATCAAAAAAAGCCTGGGAGACACAAGTGAAACCACAAACTAATGAAAATTCCTGACATGCTATGACTTTTGTATATTCATAAAATACAAAGTGAGTCTAAAACAAAAGAAGGCAGCAAAATTCTTAGAATACTATTGGTATAAAAGACGATCATTTCATCAGGGACAGTCTTTTCTGGTATCAAACCAACAGACTTTGTCAGATGAAAAAAAAGCAAAAAAGCAAAAAAAAAAAAGCTATCTATTTCTCATTGTAAATTTTTGATGAAAAGGAATTAAAGGTAACATCCATTCGCGGGGATATTATGTCCACTTTGAAAAGATCATGTTCATGTATCACGTCATAACGTCATAGAAGCTTTCAATTTGCTTCCCCCTCGGATTCAAAATAATGTTTGTTATTAAGCACCAATACCCTTATTGTGTAAAAACTTTTACTGATCATTTCAGGGAGGAAATTACACAAGGTGATCCCAGAGTAAGAGCAGCAGCAAAGTAATATGCATGTAGATTGATGTGACAAGAAAATTGCAAAGGGTGTTTTTGATGTTTAAAATTAGACTTAAATATTCGTTGTAGAGTAGAAAAATTCGTTGACTAATCACTCACTCCTATACATAACCTTACACAAATATATACACTAAAGCACCAAATAAAATTAGTGGTAAATAAAAAAAAATGATGCAATCTGCATAAATTGATTAAGAAAAATCAAAGTTGCTCAAAGGCTACAACTAAACATTGGGCCGTGTTTCAAAAACATAGATTATAAAGGTCATTTTTGCTTGAGACTGTAGCTTGTTAAAAATGCCTGATTACAATTATCATATTGAATCAAAATAATCCTCTGAAGAAAAAAAATGCAAAGACATACAAACATTACTCTAAGGTTGGACACTTGGATAAAAAGAAGACATTTCATCACCCTCAATTGACATCAAAATGCCAAAATGAAGACTGAAGAGTGGCCATCAGGCATATAATAATAATATAATGATGATAATGCTGAAATAATAATTTTTTAAAAAAGAACTGTTCTACATGAGAAAGGGAGCTAACTAAGGGTTTAATTCATATCACAAATGATGACTTAAGAAAACAAAGTAAAGTGACAACAGGAACACATTTTAGAGGCATGCCAGGACCACACTGGTTTAAGGACCAACACTTTGATAAATGATTAATAATACGTAGCACATTACAGTTGGAACAACAACAACAGAAAGAGTGGTCATAGATCATAAAAAATTAACGTGAAAGTTAAAGAGCAATAACCAAGTCTGAAAATATGCAATAAAAATTAGATGTTACATCAAATGAGATCACTAAGAATAGACATTTTGGATGGAAATTAAACAGCGGCTTCTTTTGATTACAGAATGTACAACATAAACGACACTTGTAGTATAGTCTGCAATCACTGAAGCTCAAAATCAATAGGAAAGTGATGTTATAACCAATGAGGGCTTATATGCCAGTATTTCATTAAAGAAAAACTTGAATTATTTTTCTTTCTTTCTTTCCTCAAATACCTAACAAAGGTTTACTAGGGTATGCAATTGTTCAGGAAAAACAGTGTTAATACATAGGTACACTACTGTACAAATAATTAAATTAAAAACCTGCTACAATCAAAAATTATTAATATGGCTTATTGTATGGCAAGTGACAGACTGCATAGAATTTTTTACTAAATAAAAGCAGCTCAAACACCACAACCACAGTTAGTCATTGTTCAAAATAAACTCATTCATTTACATTTCCCAAACAACTACAATTCAGACTATGATGTAGACAATGTCATGAAATAGGCCATAACTGAGAGGATAACATTTTAGACGAGAGTGACACATTTTCTTTGAGAGGAAATACATACCAACACAGCAAATCATGCATCACAGTTCTTGTAACCCTTAATCACTTTGATCTCTTTTACACTTGGACTACCCATCCCCACTGTAATGAACGTTTTGTATACAAGATGAATCAAAACTGCTTCACAAATTGAAACGGCAAACACCCCTCTAGGGCAAAATCCAAAATTTTCTTGGGTAGTGGAAGTACAAAGAGGACCCCTTTACATTTACAATATCTTCCTCAGAAGTACGCACCTTACAAAACAGGAACTGTAGTTCATGCATTTCAGGAGTTTAAGAATTTTTAATTTTTAGCATCAAAACAAAAATCTTGTTCCTCTTATGGTATCACTGGTATCAGTAACAGCTTCATTGACTCAATCTTTGGCATACAAGCAGGAAGAAGTTTCAAAATGAAAATTTCTCCCAAAAGAAAATAACATATATTGAAAGTACTTAAAAGGTAATTTAACTTTCGCTGTTATTTATGACTAGGAGCAAAAAGGAGGAATAAAAAGTTGTCACCCTCCACAACTACTTCCTCTTTGCAAATAGTGGATTTTCTTTCCAATGTATAGTTACAAATAAGACCAGCAAAATCAAAATATAACAAAAAAGAGAAAAAAAAATCAAAATAACTACAACAACATTATGGTGAAGGAAAGGCCCTTTCCATAAAGTCTGAAAGGAAAAAAGTTCATGTTTCTTTGACTTCGCCCACTGTGATAGTAGTAAAAAAAAAATAATAATAACAGTAACAAAGGAAGCATAGAAGAGAAAACGAGTGAAATAAATAAAAACTATGGAGCGCATATACAACTAGAATGGTAGCAGTTTCCCACAGTATGAATTATGAATCAGTCTAACATTAGATCACTGCCATGATTGCATAGTCATTTCAAAAAATAAATAGGATGCATTCAGTGAAAAGCTTAGGTATATACAAAAATTACATTTCAAAGTCTACATGTGTAGACTAAAAGTTCCAGATAACTAGATTGAGAGCCACTACTTTTAGAACATTTTCAGCACCATCAACACACCAAAATGCAAAATATTATGTCGGTCAATGTGTGGTTTCTGGGAAAACAAATTTTAAACAAAGATTTTTTAAAGGTAAAGGACATTTTTATCCAATAGACCTCAAGGAAAGCAAACTTTATGTTGTAATTGTTAATAAGTATTGCAACTCACTGATTTCACCACCAAGGAATGTAGATTACCCTTCTCCTTTTTTGAAAAAAGAGAAACTACACACATCAAAGCAAGACATGATGACTGGTACAATCAAAAGAAATGGAGATGAAATGTGAGAGCTTAAGACTCACTTTGATATAGATACAATGATAAGTGAATCAGTACAATACTGTACAAGTTCCAGACTAGATCAATGGAAACTCAGTCGATAACTTCGCGGTATGGTAGCTCGGAAGTAACAGTGAAGTCCTCTAGATAGTGATTGAGGAATTCAAAGGTGGGTCGCTTATCAGGGTCAGCATCCCAGCACTGAAGCATTAACCGATAAATAGCATCCGGAATGAAATGACAAGTTGGCTTGGGCATACGATATCCTCTCTCTACTTGCTCTATAACCTCTCGGCCGTGCATACCTGACAAAAAAAAACACAGCAAAATCACCAATAGTTCAGGTTACATACATTTTTAATAAATGAAATCTAAAGATGGGAAAAATTTATGGATTTTTAACATTAGAACTATTTACTAACCGGGATATGGTACTTGTCCATATGTGAATAACTCCATAAGAAGAATTCCATACGACCAGACATCTGACTTTATAGAGAAACGTCCATAAACAATTGCTTCTGGAGCAGTCCATTTGACTGGGAAACGGGAACCTTAAAGGAAATTCAAAACAGAATGTCAGTTATCTTGCAACAATCATGAGCACTATTTTGGTCAATTTCTTATGCTTCATATACCTTGTCTAGGGCAGTATTCATCATCCTCTATAACTCGTGCAAGACCAAAATCACATATCTTTGCCATGTTATTGTCTCCTATCAAGACATTGCGGGCAGCAAGGTCCCTGTGTATCAGTAGCTTTACTTCTAAATATTCCATTCCACTTGCAACCTAATAAACAAAGTACTATGTATAAATTACTTTGGTACACATAATATGGATGGATTATAAATGATAAGCAATGTACCGACCTGAGCTCCTATATAAAGCAAGTCACCAAATTGAAGGTCTTTTCCTTCCCCATTGCGAAGGAATTCTAGCAAACTTCCTCGGTTCATATATTCCTGCACTATATAGATAGGTTCCTCCTTAGAACATACTGCATAAAGTGCAACCAAGCGATCATGCCGAAACTTCTTCATTATAGCAGCTTCTTGAAGAAAAGCTGCTGTAGACATTGTACCCGGTCGCAATGTTTTGACAGCAACCTCAATATTATTGTGCCATTTCCCTGTTGAATGAAAAAAAAATGTAAAGATACAAGGTGAAATTGGTTACTTTCAATCTTTTGTAACATTTCAACAGTATAGAGTACTTACCATACCACACCTCACCAAAATTGCCCTGCCCAAGCTTCCGTATAAGTTGAATTTCATTGTGGTCAATTTCCCACTGATCTCTTAAGAGAGGAGACAAATCCCATATCTGCGGTTTGGGTTTTGGGCAAGGACGAGATAATACATGACACAAACCTAAAGCATTCTCTGAAAAGTTGGATTTAAAAATAAATTATAAATAAATGTGAGATTGATAGAATACTGTAATTAAATTGAGAATTAAAATACAGTAGATGCACTCTGGCATAAAACGTACTTGTGTAAGCAAGAACAAGAGCAGGTAAAGTAGAGAAAGTTTGATTGGTTGCAATGTAATATCCTCCGTTGTCCAATGGCTTGATCTTGTAATGTTTAACGTGGTACCCACGATTCTCATCCCAATCTTTCACAGAAAGTGAGAATCCGTTGGGATTGTGCTCTGAGTTACGGATCAAAAATGTCCCACGTGTGTTTTCATCAGCTAAAAGAAGCTTCTCTGCTTCCTTGCGTGAAACTTTTCCAAAGTACCAGCTATTTTTTATGGAGAAGAAAACAATACAATTTAGTCTAAATACATATCTAAAAGGAGATAAAAAACAACTTAAAATCCTTACTCTTCACTCTCAACAGATTTCTCTTCAGCAACAAAGTTCCAGGGAATAAGGCCCTCTTCTCCTGTGCGAATGTGTCTGACTCTCCACCAATCCGACTCGCTGCAAAAATGAATGAAATTGTCATTTTAGTGTTTGATAAGCAAACTGTTAAAACATACAGGAAGACCACAATCAATTACCTGTCATCAATTACTTCCATTCTATCTCCTTTTGCAAAAGAAAGGTCTGCAGCTTCTCTTGAGGTGTAATTGTAGACAGCAACAACAACACGGCCTTTAGTGCCAGCATTAGGATGAACTGATACATTGAAAATAAAACATTTAACATCGCATAAATGCCCATTAGTAACAAAAGCTTCAGGCGAAAAATAAAATGATTTGATGGTATGATACTTACATGGTGTGGTGGGTGTTCTGATGATGTCCACTCCCTGTTGCCTTTTCCCACTGCCAATACCCAGGATAACGCGATTCGGTTCCTGTATGTACCTTGGCTCACTTCCCAAAGTGCCAACACTGCCCAGATGTGCGGCAAGGTCTGTTGTTTCATTAAGCTTGTAGCCATGTTGTAAAACTAAAAGAAAAGGTTTAGCATTGTCAGAAATTAAGATAAAAGGAAGGAACACTTAGGAGGATTAATTTTGTTTGCACAAAGCATCTTTTTAGCCAGGAAAGCAAATTACATACCTGACTGTCTGCCTGAGTCAGAATTGTGTTTACTACAACATGCACCCATTGTGGATAATTAAAAAATAGGGGTGTAAAAAAAGGAATTTAGGAAGATTGATGGTTAAATTGTGCTGCGCACCATTTCAAGATGAGGAAAAATTTTGAGTCCTCATCATCACATTGATTTAGCCTGAGGACAGAAAAGACGCAACATGGGTTTATAAATAAAGCTGACAGTACAAAGTAAAAATGGAAAAAGTGCAGAAGTTATTTTGAAAGTTATTATGACATATGAGACAGTTATTAACATTTCATACAAGTACAAGAACTAAATAGATTCAAGGGCTGTATCACCTAAGAGTATTCCTGCCCTCTGTGATCTAGAAAATTTCCGTTGACATACATTGCAAAAAATACTGATTTAGTTGCATAAACCATGACCAAAAACCATAAATAACCTTTATGCAGTGGATCTGTTATCTATTCTTTCAATTAAGGTCATAATATATAAGATAAACAGTCAAATATTATCTTATAATTGTCTAGTCTATTTGACGTTTTTTATCAGAATTATAAAATGGGAAGTAATAGTTTAATAAGATTTTGACAGTGTTAGTGTAAGGAGGCTGTTTCTTCATCTGACGCACAACTTCAGGTGGGAGCACCTGGCTCTTTGCCAGTGAGCTATTTTGACTAAAGGGCTAGGTACAGAGAAAACTAAAACACAAGAATGCTAAAATCTCTTCACAATCATATTTAAACGACAAATTCATTCAAAACAAGAACATAAGCAATGTTTTCTTTTCATAGAAGATACAAAGATCTGAATACTGAATTTAGTGTCAGAGACACACACAATCAAATCTTGGAGATAAGTTAAATGTGGTTAAATGTTACATCAAAGATTGATCACAAGACACTGAAATAGTTTCATTACAAAAAGTTAACTGAACAGTTTTCCTAACCTATTATATAAAATCACAAAATGCATGCCAGCACAAGACTGCAAACCGGAAAATGATAATTGCACATTAGCATCTTTAAGAAGATAAAAGCCATGCTTAACGGCACATGTATTGTACTGGATGTAAAAAAATGAATAGAAAAGAGAACGGGCCGATTGATTTGTAATTGTTTGTTTTGACTTCTTTGTGTCCGGTCTGAAATGAGATATTGGGGTTAATGATCCATTTGAAAGAAATCCAGTTAACTGATCTCACTCGGTACATAAAAAACCGGCTCGTGGTTTACTCATAACTCTCCTTAACACATGACACAAGTCAAGGAAATGTGAATTTCTTAGGAAGATGATAATAGGCGTATCAAAACATATTCATGAGCGAGGCAGAGCAAAGAATAGTGAACTAATGCCCTCTTTTCCACTCCCACAAAGGTAAATGAACCCACCGGGTAGTAGAAGCATCCCCATCGTAGAGGCAGTGATGAGTGGTGGATGAAAATGAAATGTTGAAACTATTTTCAGTGATAACAAATCTCTCTGAAAGATACACACACACACAACAGACGACAAATTGACGGACAGGCAGGCCAGCAGCGGAGTTCGGCCTGCGGGCCTGCGGTACGGTGGACTGAAGCGTGGCGTGTAAATAACGCCTCGGAGTGCCACTCCGCTGCAAATAGCGCGTGCGCGTGGTGCGCTGGCATGAGGACTCTCCGTTTTAAAAGAGAGGTTCACATTTCGTGTTATGTTGTACTATTCAAAAATATGTTGGGTAGTAACTGGCGTCTCCATGGAGCTTGTGCGCTACGCGCAACCATTCGGTCGGAAACTAAAACACGTGCGAAGGACCCACTGTCATTAGGTAGGGGTATCCCACTGTGCGCGGGCTTACCGGGGAATGCCATGATCAAAACTCGCTTCTGCTAAAGCTACTATACCAGGTGGCTGACCCACGCCGCTCAGTGCCGTAGTTGTACTATACCGCATGCACGCGTGCGAGTGGGTTTGCCTATCCCCGCGGGCCCGTGAGAGGTAGGCAACCCGCCCGCACGCGCGCATGCGGTACAGTATAACTCCGTGAGAGCGCGGCGTGAGTCAGCCACCTGGTATGTGAGTCCTGCTCTGAAAACAAATTAAACACTGAAATGGGTTTATTCTGGTCGTGTTTCAAAAAGAACAGACACTTGATTATTGTTAGAATTGTCTTTAATACTCTAGGGAAAACATCATTGGTACTGCGTTATTTCAATTCGAATATTGACGGATTGTTCGGACCGTGTTTGCCGCGCGCTCACTTTTTAAGCGCTCCTTCGAAGTTGAGGCAGGACACCATGTCCCCTTCGTGCTTGATCTTCACCTCTGCCTTGATGCCACCGGGTGTCAGCTTGTCCTTCCACTGCGAAATGTCGACCGTCTTGCCGTCCGCGCATTTCTCACCCTGTCGAATAGTGTTTATGGTAAATTAGCAACAAGAACAGATTTTTACGAAAGTGTGATTGTCAACAGATTATCACTCACCTCCTCGACGGGGCACTTCTTGGGCAGCTGGAACATGTCCATCATCATGATGGCATCCCGGTTCTTGGAAGCCTCCTCCATGGCCTCGCACGCGTTCTTCGTACCCTCGGCGAGGGGCACGCCGGTCGACGACTTGATCACGTAGGACACCTGCGAACACACGCGGTTCAGTCAGAACATCAGCACCCCGACAAGATTGGCACGACAGTCACCACCTGATCCACGTCCTCACCTCGGCCTGCGCGAACTTCTTGTTGGCCTTGACGCACCCCTTGGGTACGAACTTGCAGTCGGGGGTGAGCATCACGCTAAAGTCCCGCATCGTGAGGACGCTGGGCGAGCCGTCGGCGCACTTGGTGTCGGCCTTCTTCACCGCCAGTCGGAAGCCATTCTGTTGGGGGAAAGAGGACAAACGCACCCATGTAAGAATCTTGTTTGCTCTCCTGCGGAATACAGGGCTCAAAAAGGGCCCACGCCGCATCCTGGTGGACGAAATAGCACGAAGGATGCCGTCGTCTCGAATCTCGAACTCACGCAGGCGCTCGTCCCCGGGGTCAGGAGGGCCAGCGACAGGAGCGCCAGGAGCGGCACGGCGACGGCGGGGTGCGACAGGCTCTCCATGGCGGCAGTGATGTCGTGGCCGGACAAACTGAACCACTGTGGACTCGGGGGTTAGCGTTTTATAGCCGCGGCCATTTGCGCCGTGCGCTGCGCTTAGCTGCGCTGCTCCGGCGCGCTCTCTAAGCGCTCTCCGCCCGCGCACGGCCGCTCTCCATTACCCTAAGTTTCATTTCCGCACCGAAAAAAAAATAAAAACCGCTTCATGACCGCCGGCGTGTGTTACACGAGTGTTGTTACGGCGTCGCAATGAACGCGCAACGAGCTGACCCCGGCCGCAAACGAGGCAAATATATTCGGTAAAAGTGTTGTGTGGGGTGTCCCGAGTGCCACCAGTGCACGAGTCCTCGACCAGGGACGCACGCCGCCAGCCGCCGCCGTGCGCGGCCGTGCGGCCGGAGCCCGGGCGGCGGGCGGTAGGCCTGAGCGGCGCGCGCGCGCGCGATGGGCTGCCTACCTCGAGGCGGCGGTGGGAGCGCCTTCTGCAGGCGGCTGCACTGTGCTCTGCGGCCGCTTTACGATCATCGTAATAATTATGTAGAACGTGCTTGATGATCTGGGCGGGCACGCGCGCCTGTCTGCTAAAGGATGGCGCACATTCTGTGGCGTGTGTGCGCCGCAATATGGCCCCGCGGGCATCGCGGCAGACCGCCGCTGTTCTTTACACTTCCTTCGGATAAGCCCCTCGGGGCTCGCGGGGGGCGGCCGCGCCTTTTGCTGTTCGCGGGAAAACTCTTGACCGAGTGGCGTAGGCCGGCCGGGTAAAGCCCCGGGCGAGGAGTTGACGTCAAAAACAAGGTGCCGCGCAACCCAGGCCGCAGGCACGCCACAGGCACACCGCGTCGTTGCCGCCCCACCGCGCGCCGGTCACCCAGCTGGAGGCAGATCGGAGACGTCGGAGAGGTCCCCGAAGTGCCCTCTATACAGTCAACAGAGGGTGGGAGGTCGGGGTCGGGGCGGAAGAACGTTTTCGGGGAGCTCCTCCGACCACGCTCCTGGTCAAGCAAGCCCTGGACACCTGCAACCCGCTCTTGCAGCCGGCTCGGGGTCGTCGAGTCGGGTGGGAAAGGACACGGGACACGGGGTGTTCAAACAGCTGGGCGTGGTCAGCGTCAGCGCCAGGGCTAATGAGAATAAAACAACAAGACTGTGGTACAGTACCACGTTATATTGAACCAACTACTTCTACTACGTATACAGCGAGGTAATGCCTTTCTGACAACTGCCCTATGAATGTCGCGCCACCATAATGTGGTCATGGCGGATGGGTCTGAGATAAACGGCTGTGGTCATCGTGGTCATTAGCGGCAATATACACACCACTATTGTCCGCGGGTGGGTGGAGTGTTCGGAGATGGACCAGTTTTGTTGGCCGTGTAGCGCGCTGACTTGTCTTCGTGGTATATTGACACTTTACGCGTGCAGGCCGCGGCCCGGCCTTGACCCCCGGTGTGGGTTGCGGCAGCCAGCTGCACATGCCTGTGTGATAAACCAAACCCTTCCGCTTCGGTCAACGGGTGGGCTATTCTTGAGACTTTCTATAAAGTATGTGGAATATGTGCGCAGTTGGCGTTGGGGCTTTTACCGCAACACGTATGAGAAGTGCACCCCTCCGCCTCAGTGAACACAGTGAGCAGTTGGGGGACCTTCTTGGTTGGGCGTATTTCCAAGTAAAAATTTTGCAACGTCTCGTTGTCATATGGGCCTTCACCACGTATGTACGTCTATGAGCTCAGCGACTCGGTCTACTTTTCGTGGAAACAAAATAATAAGTGTTTGCAGTGCCACCCAAGAACCGGCACAGAGTGCAAAGCAGCCCCCCC